AAAAAAAAAAAAAAAAAAAAAAAAAAAAAAAAAAAAAAATTGAAGATACTAAACAATACTGTAGTGGCAGTTAACTTGGAGTTACACTAGAAGGCTGTTTCCGTTTACGAAACCACCAATTTGTACCAATGAAAAAATCTCTTGGCACTATCAAATATCAACAACCGGTGACCGACCAAACAGGTAATTACCATCAAGAGTGGGGGGGAGAGAAAATTATATAATTATAATAAATTAAAAACAATAATCTAATCTAATAATAATGTTTATATATATTCTATCCTTTTAAAACGGGGACTGAAATGAAATGTTCCTTGTCACGTCCCATCTCTCTTCAGCTTCTCCTTCCTTTTGCTCTCTCTCTCTCTTCTGGTTTTCTTCTCAGTAAGTCGGCGATGATTTCATTCCGACCGATCAACTCCTCGCCGAGTAAATGACAAATGCGAGTACTCCATATTATCGCGGCGCTCGCTCTTTAAACGACACTGTACTCCATATTATATGCCTTTGTTTTTCCTCTCATTAGTATTACTTAGTTCTCTGAGCTTCTTCTGTTCTTCAGTCTTCTGAACTCTCCAGATTTTCTCTCTCTAAGTTTGACCTTCCGATCGTCTGCTTGTGCGTTTGTGTGTGGGTCACTCTCTGATCGGATCCATCTCAGTCGTTCGATTTGCCGTGAGGAGAGGCATTCATCGACCACGCTGATGCTATAAGCGTATTGGAGGAGAAGTTTTAGCTTAAACTGGAGCTAAATTCGAAGGAAGAACACGAAGAGCCATGTTGGATCTCAATCTGAATGTGCTCTCGGCCGATTCGGCTTACCAGAACGACGGAGACTCCGCCATGTTCGTCGAGAAGGTTCCGCAAGGCTCCGGGACCCAAATGGACGAGTCCGGGACCTCGAATTCGTCGATCGTCAATGCGGACGCGTCGAGCAACGGAGGCGACGACGATTCGTGCTCCACACGCGCTGGCGGGAGCGAGGTCTACACATTCAACTTCGATATCCTGAAGGTTGGGGCCGAAAACGACGTCGTCGTCACGAAGGAGTTCTTCCCGATGACCACTGGAGGAGCGAATGTGGATCTCAAGGACTGGCAGGGACAGTCCTCGTCGTCTTCTGCGCCTTCGAGGAAGAAATGGATCGAGCTTGGGTTCGACCAGAGTGGGTCTGGAGAGGTGAGGATGCCTCAGCAACAACAACAGCAGCAACAGCAACAACAACAGCAGCAACAGCAACAGCAACAGCAACAGCCGAAGAAGAGCAGGAGGGGACCGAGGTCTCGGAGCTCGCAGTACAGAGGGGTCACTTTCTACAGGAGGACGGGAAGATGGGAATCGCATATTTGGTGAGTGAATTCGGTGTTTATATCTATCACTCCATGCTTGTCGATTGGTTGGAGTTTGATAATCAAATAGATTATAGATGAGTTCGTCGTCGTTTGTTGAATTTATTCTGTTCGATTTTGACCATTTTCGTTTGGTTATTGTACGAGCCATTCTGATTACAATTCTGGACTGACTCTTATTTTCTTGTTTGTTTTTCTTCCCTTTTCCTTTCTCGTCCTCTTTGTTTGATCAGGGATTGTGGAAAACAAGTCTATCTGGGTATGGATTTTGCAATTTTTGTTTGACCGAGTTTTAATTGGGAAAATTGTTGTTATTGATCTTCTAATTTTGGAAAACTTTAACGAACTTGGTTGTTTGGTCTTTTCTAGGTGGTTTCGACACCGCTCATGCTGCGGCTAGGTAAATTTCCTCTTCTCCGCATTGGATTTTCGTCTGAATAAAATTAGCTTTTATTTCAAGAGCTTTGAAAATCTTGGTCATTCTCTATATATGTTATTTATTTTAGTTAACTTTGGTTTTGTGTAATTTAGGGCCTATGATCGAGCTGCTATTAAGTTCAGGGGAGTAGATGCTGATATCAATTTCAATCTCAGCGATTATGAGGATGATTTGAATCAGGTATGATTGCTATTTTGAGTTTTGACCGCAAAAATACCGAGACGCTTTTGTTTTGAGCTGTGGGTGTAATGGGACTAATCATATTTTCAACAATTGTCAGATGAAGAACTTGACTAAGGAAGAATTTGTGCACATACTACGGAGACATAGCACAGGCTTCTCTCGGGGCAGCTCAAAATATAGAGGAGTGACGCTGCACAAATGTGGCCGTTGGGAAGCTCGAATGGGGCAGTTCCTTGGCAAAAAGTGAGGAACTAATTTGTGGAATTTAAATATGTGATATTTCGATTCAATTTAGGCTTTAGGAGTAGATATTAGGAGATTTTATGTGCCCATTTGAGTGGAGCAAGCATTGTGGCAAACAATCTCTCAATGGGTCGTTTTATTTTTCCTTGTTTGGGAGAGCAAAATCAAAGAAATAAAAATAAAAAAAGAAAAATTGGGGACCGTGTTTACATCATGGAGGTTACCATGCTTGAATGCAGGTATATATATCTTGGGCTATTCGACAGCGAAGTAGAAGCTGCAAGGTCCTAATGATCATGAATTACTCTACCTGACACTGAATTTATTACCTTCTCAACCTCATTAGGGTTCCATCCAACACGTCTCCCTTTTGATTTTCTGGAAATCAGGGCATATGACAAGGCAGCCATCAAATGTAATGGAAGGGAAGCGGTCACCAACTTTGAGCCAAGTACCTATGAAGGGGATATGATCCCTGAGGCCAATAGTGAAGGTATTATCTGACAGCTTAGTCTTTCCTGTAGCTTTCTTGTACTATAGAACTTCAAACTTGCCTTTCTTGGTTTGTGTCTCAATTCTTCTTTTATGCAGGTGGCAATCACAATCTTGATCTCAATCTGGGAATATCCCCCCCTTCATTTGGCAATGGTCAAAAGGAAAATGAGGGACGTATCCAGTTCCGCCCTGGCCCTTATGACGTGCACGGCAGAAAGTTTGTGGGGGTAATCTTGAATACTAATTTATAGATGATTTTAGATTTTATGTCTGTTTCAAACAAAAATAAAACCAGTACCAAATGATGAAAACTTTTCGGACTTAATCTTGCATCCTTTTGTTTCCTAGTTGTTACTAATGTAATTGACTTCGTTCCCCGGTTCTTGAAATTGGAATGACCAATAGAACATATGGCCAACGTTTTAGATTGACAACCGGCAATTGTTTATGCTCTCTGCATTCTGCCTTTTCAGATGGAGAACCATACTAGCGCAACACTGGGCGATCCACCTTTCAAAGGGCTAGTAATGACATCTGAGCAGCCTCTACTGTTGAATGGTGTATATCCTAGTTACTTTCCGAGTGAGGTAAATTTCACTTATCCTTTGACTTGGGACTCCTTGACTCATCCTTTACAGCTACCATTTGTTTGTTTGTTTCAACAATAACTCTGCTTAGTTATGACTGAATACAAATTGCGGCCTTGAATTTGTACTCATGGAGAAAGACGGAAGAACTAATTTCTATGTTTATCTTAGCAGATGAACAATTTGTAAAAATGAATCTACCAGAATGTAAAATAACCACGGTTAGCGTTGTTAGGTTATCACTCGCCTCACAATTTTTAAGCGCCAAAACCATGGTTGAACTAGAATCCAAGAGCAGAAAGATTTCAGCAATCATACAGCTTTATCTATCGTTTGTTTCTGTTCCTAACATGGCCAGCGTTTCATACATCGGATAATTTTAAGGCAGTGAATCGTAATGGTGGTGATTTTCGCATACTATTGCAACTCTTCAAATTAGGCGTATGTTTCTCGCTAGAACGAGGATCAAGACATTGATTATGGACATCTCATTTTTGAATCCTTTGGACAGGAAAGGGCAACAGAGAAGAGGATTGCACTAGGTTCTTCTCAAGGACTCCCATCATGGAAAATGCATGGCCAGGTCACTGCAACCCAAGTGCCACTGTTCTCTACTGCAGCATCATCAGGATTCTCATTTTCAGCCGCCCCTCCGTCCGCTGCCATCCTTCCGTCAAAACCATTAAACCCGGCGACCCTCAATCTCTGTTTCACTTCTTCAGCCACAGCTCCCACCAATTCCCCTCAATATTATTACCAGGTGAGGCCACAACAGGCACCACCCTAGAATGGCTAGAATTTATCCTCCCTCTATAGTTGAGAGGCATGTGTAACAGCCGTGGTTTTGAATATTCTTTTGTATGATCAGAAAATAGTGATTGCTCTAAAACTACTACTATTGATTCTGACTCTCTTCTAAAGCAATTACCAAACTCTGTTGGAGATGTTGGTATTAAGAAAATGCTAATTCTCTCTTCGCATTTATGCTATACACTCATGGCATCATTGACTTGGAGTTTAGTTTAGTATACAATTATTATGAGGTTTTTGTTGGAATTTTTTTTAATTCAAATTATTCTTGAATTAGATAATGAGATACATTTAAAATGTGTTCTCCATTTGCAAAATAAAAATTGGAGGACGCTGTCCTTGGATTTGGTTCGGTTTGTGTAGCACTGTTTTGTATTGTTCTCATTTTTTCCATTGATTTAAAGCAGTTTTTTTTTTTTTTTTGTTTTAATTGAACCTCAATTTTTGCTAAGAATAATTGAACCTTGTTTGGAGCTAATTGTTTTTTGTTTTTTGACATTAGAAGTCAAAATTTTCGCCTGAGTTCAAAAATGTACTGTGGAGATGACCGAGTAGTACAAATATTTTTGGGGCAAAAGGAGAAAAACAGGAAAAAAAAAAAAAAAAAAAACTAATTTTTATAATTTTTCATTTGCCTGAACTTTTTTTTTTTTTTTTTATGCAGTTTGACATATATATGTTTTTTTTTTTTCATTTATGACTATATTGTCCCACGTTACCTAGGAAATCTTGAAATACTTTTATTTGCTGAACAGAAATACTTTTTACTTTGGGCATTGAGCCAAAGGTGCAGGAAAAGTAATAACTATATTTGCTCATTTATTAATTATAGAAAGAACTAAGACGTGATTCATGAATTAAAATTATAAGATTAAAATTATTTTTAATTTATATATATTTTTTGTGAGAGAGAATACTGTAACGAATCATGAATCATAATTCGAATTAGAGAACGAATCTTTCAACTAAATAAGATTTAAACTATTCAAAATAAAAAATAAAAAACTAAATAATTCAATTAAAAGCATAAATAGTGGTTGCATGTTTAATCTCACACCTAATTTCATCATAAAATGTAGAGTTTAATCTCTCCCATTCTAATTTATTTTAAAAATAATTTATAATGTTAACGTTTTATTAGACTGAAGTAATACGTTTGTATTTCATAATTACAAATTAGCAAATTAAGAAAATCAAATTTCCATAGACTTGGAAATCGAATAGAATAATATCAAATTAAGAAAATATAATTGTTTTAACTTTTTCTTATTATCATTACACTTTATTCATATTCCCTTAAAAAAAATGCATATTATTCAGATTTGTTTTTTCTTTTAGCCACTTCTTACACTTGGACATTCCCACTCGGACGTCCGGAACAAAAAAAAAATATTACATAAGCATATGAAAGTTATAATACGGATTTTTTTTCTTATAGAAGTATAATAATTCATTTAAAAGTGCCCAAAGTGTAATAATGCTTATCATTTTTTTTTATTTGACGAAGTTATAATGCTTATCATAGCAATTTATAATTTCCCTACTTATATACTCTGAAATATTTTGGATTTCTTTTTCTTTCTTTAAATGGGAATTTCAACCCTTTTTTGTCTTTTCAGTCTAAATATTGAAAATAGTAATTAGGAAAAGGAGCAAAATAGTCACCTCTCTATTATTCACCTTCTTAATTGTAATTACCCTTTTATTAGAATAGATCAACTTAAACAACATAAACAAAAAAACAATGTTAATTTCACATTGAATTTAAGAATCAATTTTAGAAAAATTTCATTAAATTATCACTGGACCAATGTCTCACCTTCAATTACTAAATAATAACCACATACAAAATTTCTGGACTGTGATAAATTGAGTGTTTCGGCACCCAAATTAAAAATATATGTATATATAAACTGATTTAATATTTTTCGTATATAAAAATTCGATACATATGCACGAGTATCATATACACACTCTAACACGAATAAGATCAAAAGATGAAAAAATTCTACCAAATTGTTTTTTAGGCATGTCTATGGTAGGGTGTACTTGTTTTATCCTATTACAGTAAAACTAGGGCTGTTCATAAACCCAAACAACCCGCAAACCCAACCCACTCCGCTCCAATCCAAGCCGAAAAAAGCAACCTGCATCATTATTTTTAAATTTGCGGCTCATTATACCTCTGGCCCGAAGTGTTTGGGGCGGATTGCGGGTTGGGCCCATAACAACCCGCAATCCCCAACCCAACCCACACAACATACCCCCAAGCTGAATAATATCAAATTAAGAAAATATAATTGTTTTAACTTTTTCTTATTATCATTACACTTTATTCATATTCCCTTAAAAAAAATGCATATTATTCAGATTTGTTTTTTCTTTTAGCCACTTCTTACACTTGGACATTCCCACTCGGACGTCCGGAACAAAAAAAAAATATTACATAAGCATATGAAAGTTATAATACGGATTTTTTTTCTTATAGAAGTATAATAATTCATTTAAAAGTGCCCAAAGTGTAATAATGCTTATCATTTTTTTTTATTTGACGAAGTTATAATGCTTATCATAGCAATTTATAATTTCCCTACTTATATACTCTGAAATATTTTGGATTTCTTTTTCTTTCTTTAAATGGGAATTTCAACCCTTTTTTGTCTTTTCAGTCTAAATATTGAAAATAGTAATTAGGAAAAGGAGCAAAATAGTCACCTCTCTATTATTCACCTTCTTAATTGTAATTACCCTTTTATTAGAATAGATCAACTTAAACAACATAAACAAAAAAACAATGTTAATTTCACATTGAATTTAAGAATCAATTTTAGAAAAATTTCATTAAATTATCACTGGACCAATGTCTCACCTTCAATTACTAAATAATAACCACATACAAAATTTCTGGACTGTGATAAATTGAGTGTTTCGGCACCCAAATTAAAAATATATGTATATATAAACTGATTTAATATTTTTCGTATATAAAAATTCGATACATATGCACGAGTATCATATACACACTCTAACACGAATAAGATCAAAAGATGAAAAAATTCTACCAAATTGTTTTTTAGGCATGTCTATGGTAGGGTGTACTTGTTTTATCCTATTACAGTAAAACTAGGGCTGTTCATAAACCCAAACAACCCGCAAACCCAACCCACTCCGCTCCAATCCAAGCCGAAAAAAGCAACCTGCATCATTATTTTTAAATTTGCGGCTCATTATACCTCTGGCCCGAAGTGTTTGGGGCGGATTGCGGGTTGGGCCCATAACAACCCGCAATCCCCAACCCAACCCACACAACATACCCCCAAGCTTTCGGCCCAAGCCGAACTGCCTAAGTTCTACCCTAGGCTCGCTAACATTAGGGTTCACAATCTTATTCTCGGCCTTCCCTCCCGTGAACCCCCTCTTCTTGCCTCTTCCTTTTCAGTTTTCCCTCTTCTTCCCCTCCCATGAACCCCCTCATAACTCTCTCCTCATTGCTCAGTCATCTCGGCCGCCGTCTTGCCCACTTTCTCCGGTGCTCTCTCGCCGGACTGATAAGGATGGTTGCTATTTCTATTTAATGATGAAGTTTGAATATTATATTGAACTTTAAGTCTTTGATTTTTTGAATGTTGAAACCGACCACCCAACCCACCCCGCACCGCCCCAACCCAACCCGAACATTGTTGGGTTGTGAAATTTTTCTAACATCGTTGGGGCTAAATATGTGCAACCCGCACCCTTTGGGGCGGGGAAAAAAAAGTCCTACCCCGCACCAACCCAACCCATGAACAGCCCTAAGTAAAACCTTTATAAATGAATACTGTTAAGACTGGGAAAAATATTATTTTAAAGAGGTTATTTATATATCATGAATAATTTATTAATTTATTGATAAATGAATAATTTATTAATTTACAAAAAATTTTGTGTTTTGACTTTTGATTACTTTTGTACATTTACCTTTTTTTTACCCAGATTCATGCATGAGCTATAATTAATAAAGTTAACGGTATGTAGTCAAAAGTTATCATGTACATTATAAAAATAATAATAATTGTTGTTATTTTCATGCATATAAGCTCAAAATTGATGTATATTGTACGTACATTTAACATGAAGATTAATAGGTACTTGGGCATACGATAAATGTATCTTTTAATGATCATGATCTAGATAACAGTTGTGTTTTACTAAATATTTATCTAAAAGAGACGTTTTAAGCAATAGTAACCTTAAATAACTATTTGCTACAACATAAAAAATATACCAGATGTAGTATATAGCTTTGCCAAAAAATTAAAGACGAGGTTGAGTTCAATTTAGATACAAAAAAAAAAAGACTTTAAATGCATATTTTGGAAAAAAAAAAGTTCAATTGAGAAAATAGAAGTTGTCAAGAGAAAAAAAAAAACTCTTTAATATTAATGAATTACATATATTTTTTTGCCAATTCTTAATTTATATTTTCATTGGGACCTAAAGGATTTGAAAAAAATTTATTATCTTATGCATTTAGTGAGACTATTAATTTAATACACTGACTCGAGTCAGAACCGAAAGTTTTTATTATTTAAGTGAGGTTATTAATTTATCGAACATTCACTTATCAAGGTTTTACTGTAGTAGGGTGTGAAATGTGGACCATCATATTAGAAAGTAATAGTGCAAGCTGATAGTGCTCATTGAAAGTAAAGTAAAGACCAACACACTTGATTACACTCTTCATTTTAAGTTTCATAATTATAAAACTATCCATATGTTTCATAAATTATCAGTTTATGCCCAATTAAGTATCAAGAATAGATTTAATCATCTTTAGATCTTAGCCCTTAACCACTAAAAAACGCTAACATCACATAAACCAAACATCTAAAATCTTTGAGCATTTCCATTAGTAGCCGCCAGTCTCCCACCACAGGAAACTCATCTTCGCCCTTACCATAGGCACCCTTCGCCCGGCCTTCCACCGGAAGCTGTTGCCACACCCTTGCCTTTACACCTCAACACCCTCACTGCCGCCATTACCCCGTTGGATTTTGCATCCTACGCGTCTTTCGCCTCGCTCTTTACCTTCACGTCCTCACTCCCATCAGACACTTGGCCCTCTTATGCATCCTTCATCGAGCCTCTCCGCCATTTGAAGATGGTGGGTCGTAATTCACCACCAACTGCGAATTGTGGTTCGCGAGACTCACTCAGTGGTCTCGCCACC